GTTTTGAGAGCAGAGAATTACTATGGCAAAATTCTTCTTCTTCCCCTACTTTGCATTGAATCCTTAATTTCCTTTCTTCTCGATTCAATCTTATTTTCTTGTTTTCATCACCATTGTGTAGCGATACAATCTTGCAACTAAAATTGGTTGTTTCACTCTTGTAAAAAGTGAAGAATACGAGAGAATTTGATCAGCGTGATTGAATCTTATTCATTAAAATTGATTTGAAGTTACTCAAAGTCTTGAATTTAATTCCAACATATTTACTCTTTCTGTTTTATATTATAAGAAAATTTTACTTTTTAGATAAATCAAATACATTAATTATTCAATATATCTAAAAAGTAAATTTTGTTTATAATATAAAAGGGAGGAAGTATATCCTATCTTGCATCTTAAAATGATCCCTTAAATTTTGTGAATAAATCTTTAGTCCAATTTTGTAAAAATTATATAATTGACTTTAAGATATTTCATTTTTTTCTTCAACAAATCAGATAATAAAGACTAAAAAAGAATGTGGTTATTTAGGGTCTGTTTGGTTCAAATGAGGGAGAGGGGAGGGGAGGGATTTTAATGAAGGGGAGGGGAGGTGAGTGATTTTTTTAATCAGATAAGTGATTTTTATAACTTTCCAACATAAATTAAACTATATGTCAATAACATCGTTTAAATTGTTATGAATCATATAACAAAACAAATATATAAAATAATTTATTATTAAATATTAATTGGTTCAAAATATTTAATAAAATAAATAAACGAAAATAAATAAAATGAATGGTTTGCAATTTGATATAAAAGAAAATACGATAAAATACATAACAAAATTAAAAGAAAATAAATGAATGTAATTAAACATAATTTTTTTTTATAAAAAAAAAAACAATGATTATGATTTATATTAAGTATAGAAATTATAAAATAATTTGAAGGTGGAGAACAATTATAATAAGTTGATGGAAACAATCGAGAAAAAGTAATAACACAAAAGAAAAAAATAGTTTTGAAATACTGAAATTAAACTGAGGATATTTTAGTAAATATAATAGTTTTTAAATATTAAAACTCATATTCCCTTCCCTCCTCTCCAAATCCCCCCAATTCGGAGGGAACCAAAAAATGTGTTTTGGAGGGATTTTACTCCCCTCCCCTTCCCTCTTAAAATTTGAACCAAACATATTTAATTAAAAACTTCTCCTCCCCTCCCCTCCCCTCTATCTACTCCGAACCAAACACATCCTAAAATAATTTTTTTAAAATGTTTTAAGAATTAGTCATTATCAAAATGAAAAATATAACTCAACATAAATAATAGCAAAACATCCTTAGTTTAACTACATTCTTCACTATTTAAGGAATATATAGGGTAAACCCCTCATCTAAGTAATGTAGCATTAAGATGCCATTTGTATGATTTCAAACAAATAACTTTTTAAATTGCAAAAAGATGTTTTTCCTCTATAGTACTCTTCCATTTTCATCCACATAAACCACCTATTACAGATGGTGACTTGTTCCAAAAAGACCAACCAAAGCATCAACCAGAATTCCACTATTTTTAATGTAACTATTTTTAATAAATATCAAAATTTCAATGATGTCTCATGCATAATCCGTGACTATTTGTTTCATCATGCACTTGATGTTGACCATTTTTGTTGAAAAGGAAAATGAATGGCATGCAGAAATTTCAATGTAGCTCAGTATAACAACTACAGAAGACTGAGAATATTATTACAGAATATAAAAAAATAAATTTATCATATTTTCATTTCTTTGGTCAACAAAATGTGTCTAGAATATTCAGCTTTCATATAAAATAAGGTGAAAAATGAAATAAGAATGTTTACCAAAAACAAAATGAGACTTAAAAATTTAATATTTGAAGTTAAAAATTATAAATGTCAACTCTAAATTGGGGTCAATTTTTGAGGCAAAGCAATTCCATTCAAGAACACTAAAACATGTTTCATGATTAGAATATGATAGAGATAAGATAGTGTCAATGTCTCCATTTTCATGGTTTTAATTAGGGGCAACTTCTTTTTCCATTTCATGATTAGAATATGATAAATTTAATCAGATACAATCAATGACTCTATTTTCATTATATTAATTAAGAAAATTTTCTTTATCGATGTGTGTCTCATACTTATGAAAATCTAAAATTGTTTTTAGAAATTTTCAGTGTATTTTTGAATGTACCTTTAATAATAGTTAACACGGTTTTGTGTCCAGAACTGAGTTCGAAGTCAAAATCTCTAATTAAGAGTGAAGAAATCTCTTACCATCTCATTCAAGTACTCTTAGTATTATAAACTTTAATATCACATTAATTTTTAAAGAGTTAACTATTTCGTTTTTTTATTGCACAACTCATTAACTTTTATTATTACAAGGTTAAAAGATACTTAATGGAAATTACAATCTTAAAAAGAAATTATTCGTTAAGAATATTTCCCGGTTTCAAAGAAAGGGAGACATGCACCACGCGACCATTGTTAAAAGATATGTCAAGATCAGTCATATAATCATCACTTTATTTGTTTTCACTTTATTGCTTTCATGGAGAGTGTGGACCTGTTTTCAAGCAACATATCATTGATACCTTGTGTACTTGCTAAAAGGATAATGAGGGTAACATTTTGTTTGTAGAAATATTTGTTGTGTATATGATGTTTTGATAGTATTTCGGGCTAACTTATGTATAGTGGTGAAAAACTCTATATATGTGTTTTTTAGGTGAATGATTCGATTGATTTTCAACTTAAGACCGAGATATTTATAAAAAATCCCTTGGCCCTAGGTTGAAGAACCAAATGATGATTTATTCTGCCTATATGAATAGGAAACATGTACCCCTTTAACGAGCAGTTGTGTGAACAAGTCACTCCTTACATTTTAATAAGCGGGTGAGTGACAAGATAGTTCCAGCGACCCAAATCAAATATGAGAGAATTGTTACGAATAGTGGGCGACAAGTGACACAACTTTGGAGGTCTATGACACTACTCATGTTCTCTCTTGACATTAGTATGTTTGATTTGTCTTGTTTTACTTTAGATTATCTTCTCTTAGACCTAATGAAATTATCCTAGTACATAGCCTCTCCGGCACTATGAGAAGTGATTTAATCCTACGCAGAAGGTAATTTACTTGTGGGCAAAACTTAAATAATCTAGTCCCTTATACAAAACTCTTTAAAGGCGAACTCGTCCAACTATTGGGTCTTTGATCACAACCAACTCTCTGATATCATTGCTTAGAATACAAGGAAAGTTTTGAAAAAAATTGCCAATTTTGATATGCGTTCCAAAGAAATTCTCATTTCAAAGATGTAACATTTCATGAGCATATTCTCCCTTATAATGGAGTTCGAGAATCTATTATTGATGATAAGGGATAATTTTCCTCCCACAATGATACCATGTTCCTCTGCAAATAACCCTTAGACTCCCTCTCAACCCTTTGATCCTAAAGTTCCATTCCAATGAATATAAAAACTCCATACAAAAATCATATAGGCCTAAGCATACACTAAAAGACTTTGCATGCAGAACATTTCATGACTCACCTAATCATTCATCCACAAGTATGACTAATCCTATTTATGCATCCTCATGTGTGCCCAATTGGGTGTATATGGATATAAGTAGAGAAGTTTAAAATAAGGTGTCTCTTCATGTCAAAGAAAATAATGCATATATCTGATCTAAAACAATTTATACACTTTTAGATCCTTCTTTGAAATTACACCATTTGAGGACATTCCATCTTACATTAGATTAATTGACAATCTACTATATCTCACAACAACAAAACCTAATACCACATTCATAACTCAATAATTAAGTCAGCTCTTATTCAATCCTACCATTAAGAGTCTTAAAATATTTGAATTACTTTCTATGTTGTAATTCACTCTTTCTTGGAGATTCACATATATGATTGCTAGGCTTCTCTACTGTTGATTGGGTATGATGTGCTTCTCAAAGAAAATTACAATGGGTATCGTGCTTAGATCAAAGATTTGCAAATTCAATGCATTAAGCTACACATTGTTGCAAATCATGTTATCCATGAAAGAACAAAACACAATAGATTGTCATTATGTTAGAGAAAAATTGCAAGTTGAAATCATAAAGATCAGTTAATAGATTTCTCACCAAGTATCTTCTTCCATAACCATTTCACATTTTGTTATCCTAAGTTGAAAATGATATACATTTATCACCCTCTAACAACTTGTCGGAGACTATTCCACCATGAGAATCAAGAAGAAGATGATGATCCAACTCTTCATAGTTAGGATTTGTTATTATGAGTGTATTGACTAAGTTTTGGGGTTACTTGGGCATGAAATTAATTAATTGATTAACAAATTGGTTGACATAAGCTAGTGGACATCCCATTTTAGAATATAAATATAATATGCACTTCATTATTGATGAGTGAAGTTAATCACTTGTATAAGTGTTAATAAGAATCATCATTGTCACAATTCAAATTAAAACCACATTTAGATAGAAATACTTGGTAATCACACATAGTGGCACACCAAAAATACAGGCAAAACATAATATTACTTCAATAAAAACTCATCTATATCCTTAAGGAAAATTTCAATGCCTAGTTAGAACTCTCAAATACTACCATTTGCCAGCAAAACTAAACAAGAATCAATTCTAAACAATAACTTAATCAAAAAGTTTATCACTGGGTTGCATATAACTTCCCGTCTCGTGTCATTGTTATTAAACCTGAACTTCCTCTCAGAAATGCTGAAAAGGATTAAAAAAATGTATAGAATCTATTGCTCCCGAAAATTTGGACAATATTATATGCTTACATCACAGTTTTTTAAACCAAAGCCTAACAGAATCAGTGAGTAAAACCTCTTTCTTTACGAGGCTGTGGTGAAAATTTTGGGGGAAATTATTTTTGGTAACACTCGAACAAACCACGACATAAAAAATTTCGGACCTAAATTGATTATTTTAGGCAGCTGCGGCCAGAGGCACGGATCTGTGGCATGCTCTCTTCGCAGCACGAACGATATCTTCAACCTGTACATCCACATATATCAGCAAGCAATCAGATTTACATGATTGATACACATGTATTGAAAAACGTCAAAAGTAATGTTTAAGAAATATTACATGTGGGACAGCCAATCTCTCGAGATTAGCTGCATAAGGCATGGGAACATCAGCGCCAGCAATTCTCTCAACCGGTGCATCAAGATAGCCAAAACTTTCCTCAATGACAGAAGTGCTGCACAATAGAAGTATGAGCTTAGACAACTTCGAGAGTTAACCAGCAAGATATAGTGAAACTATTGTTAAGAGATAAACCAGATTTCAGCGCCAACACCGTGCTGAGGAAACCCTTCTTCAACTGTCACCAATCTGTTGGTTTTCCTTACGGAAGCATTGATGGTGGGTCGATCAAGTGGCCTGATTGACCGTAAATTAATAACCTGTGTGGATAAAGACCAACACTCATTGTTAGTCATAACAAAAAAGTTGCATAAAGGGCAGAAATTTATCACAAGTTATTGCAAAACCTACCTCGGCACTGATTCCTTCCTTTTCAAGTATCTCAGCAGCCTAAACAAAGTAAAAAAAAAAAAGTTATTTACAAATGTTTGTTTGTTTGGTGGGAGGACATGAAGAGGTTAGAGATTCTGACTATTCTTCAGATATATAAAACAGGCAATGAACAATTAACTGAAAATAATTATCGTCCTCTTATTCAACACTTAAATGCAAGACAAACCTACATTTCACATACTACTAGGTAAATGATAATTAAATTTTAGAAAAAAACATAAATATCTAGAATACAAAACAATCTTTGGGGTAAACAAACCTTTAGAGCAAAGCCAACCATTTTTGAGAAGGCTGTAATAGTCACATCTTTTCCTTCTCTCTCAATCTGTTAAGAGAAAAGCATGAATTTGATAAGAATGCTAAATTTCAGGATGTGCTACACCAAGAAATGCAAGAACGGTGTAGTTCAAATACTACAAATAATTAAGTACCTTTGCTTTTCCAATGGGAAGGCAAAAGCTGGAATCAAGAACTTCGGCAGAAACAGGGAATGACTCACCATATCTATAGCACATAACTCATCAACTTAAAAATCATTTAAAACTAGAAATAATGTTGGAAATCTTCAAGCTTAAACAACTCTGTTTAAAATTACTAATCAAACGGCATAACTTACAACAACTCATTTTCAAGGAAAACTACAGGATCAGGGTCCCTAATAGCAGCTTTAAGTAAACCACGGGCATCTTCAGCTGAATATGGTGCCAAAACTTTCAACCCAGGGCACGAGCCATACCAAGATGCATAACACTGCATAAAAGCAAAGTTGTAGGGCACACAAATATAAACACACACTAAAGCATATATATGCTCAATAGGTCATAACCAAAGTAAAACAGTGGGTGTTGCAAACAAATAGTTAACGAAAGTTTCGCATAGAATAAAATGCTAGGAGAAACATACATGAGAGTGCTGAGCACCAACTCCAGCAGCAGCACCATTAGGTCCTCTAAAGACAATAGGTACAGATATTTGCCCAGCAGACATGTAATTTGATTTTGCAGCAGAATTAATGATGTGATCTATTGCCTGCAACACAAATCAAGATGAAATGATGATGAAGTGGGATAAATTAGATGGGAAATGCTAGTAAGCCAAGATGATGATGGGGGTGTTCAGATTAGTCTTCGGAAAATTGCTTTTGAATGAACTTGACTATAAATAATTTATTTTAATCAGAAACGTTTTCAAGTGAATGTATTAATACTACGTGAAAAATGATTTTAGCATAAACAACTATTTAGTATCAATAAAAATCACTTTTAGGTGGGTGATTATTAATAATGGGTATCCAGAGGAAGAAATGCAAATATAAGGCATGCAGACATAAGATATTTCACACAAAAAAATACTCTCAGTTTCAAAATGGCTGCCGTTTAAGATTTTTGCACACAAATTAAGAAATGTAATAATGTTGTCATAAGACATTACACTTTTTCTAAATTAACCTTATAAATGTGTTGGAAATAGTGTACAGAGAAATAATTTAAGGACACAATTGGAAAAATAGCAAACATTTCTACAATAAAAAGTGAGAATGACATTCATTTTGAAACAATTTTTTTGCTAAAACGACGGTCATTTTGAAACGGAGGTAGTAAATATCTAAGACTACTACTGGAAAATAAAAAATGAAAACAAGTATTGACAAGAAACAAAATTCCGGCAAAAAACCTGCCAAGTAACAAAACCTAAGTGGTTCATATTGATTCCATATTTCCATGTTACTTTCAAATTAATTAAACGCCACATGATTGGTTGATTTATGATGTGTCAAGGCACTGTAAACAATAAACTGAACCAGCTCATTTAATATAGAGGTCAACATGTCTCCTCCAGTTTCAAATCCATAGTTTAGCAGGAAAGTCAATCAAAGGATTGTGTAGGTTAGGCGTCCTTCCACAATGCATAAAGAAATGCTTTGGATTATGAACGGCCAAGCTACCACGCCACCAAGACACATTAAATAGAGACTGCTACTGTATCCCCGTCAGATATCTATTGCAATTTTTGCCATGACCACCCTTCTAATTTGACCTCCACACCCCGTCCCCTTTTCTGGTCAGAACTTTCACAACTTCCATAGTTTAAGTTTATTGCTGCAACTTACTGCCATTCTTTGCTCTTTACAGAAGTTTGCTTAATGTTTTGCCTCAGTTAGCAGGGTTTTCAAGGATTGTACATCTATACTGTCTTATCATGAGTTCTTATTGTTAAAGACTAGTGTCTAAAATTCTGGGCAACTTTTGAATTTTTGAGCATTTATTGCATCTTAAATTGAACAATTCGTCTTGTATACATAATCTTCAATATAGTGATCGTCTTGTATATATACATAATCTTCAATACAATTCGTCTTGTATACACAAATACACGGAGAAGGCAATATGTGTCTTTGGCAAATTAATCATCATCTGAAAACTCAGTAACACGTGTATTCTTATCACGTAGAAGACATAACTCATAAGATGCTAATATAATGATCTTTCAGGGCAGGTAACTTTTCATGACAAAATTTTATTCATTAAGAGCATGGCTTGCAAATTCCAAGAAGAAAAAACAAAACACACAGAAACTCATGAGGTGCCAAAAGAAGTAAATTAACACACTTAATTGCACACTCAATTCAAAAAAGAAAGGATGCAATTGAGTTAAACGCTAACCTGCATGGAGAAGTTAAATGTCATAAACTCCACAACAGGCTTTAGACCATAGTAAGCAGCACCAACTCCAATCCCAGTAAACCCAGCCTGCATTATATTTAATGAACATTATATTTGAACAAATTATACCATGCAAACAGCTGCAACAATGTATAAATCCTGTATTTTTCTAGGAACTATCTGTCAAATACTTTTCATACAAAGTCCATTCATTGGTTTAACTATGAAAGATGGAAATAAACAGAAAAAAGTGCAACCAAAAGTGAGATACTAAAGTATCAATTTTAAGTTGTTCCTTAAGAGGAAAGAGGCAGGAAAAATCTTTTCGTGTTCAATAAGTAATTTTTACAAAATATAAATTGGCAGAAGCTCGCATAACCCAACATGACACCCACCCCACAATGTTATTGATGGCGGGCCGTGGCAGAGAGCCAAAATTCCAACATATGGCTCCGCCGTCCTTCACAAATTTGGCCATAAAAGAGGCAAAAATCCGCCACCCATATATGCCATGGCTGATATATGACAAAACTTCACCCAATGCCATCATATTACCAATATACGGATTTGTTTATTTTATTAGACGGTTGCACTATCGGGTGGAACAAAAAAATAGTACCAATTCACAAGCACTAGTAAATAAACCTTAAAGCAACGACGGGACTAATATGTTTAAGAAATGTAAAACATTGAAAGAGACAAAATACAATAGCATCTGAAAAACTCGAAAAACCAACAGCTGCAAAAGTATAAAATAAAAAATAACCTCGGTGATGGGAGTGTCGAGAACCCTTTCAGGACCATACTTCTCTAGCAATCCCTTGGTAATCTAAAACAAAAGAACAAAGAAAAATGATGAATTAAATCGATTCAAAACAAAATAAACCCACATCCAGCACAAAAAACAATTCAAGCAAAACACCAAACTAACCTTATATGCACCTTGATATTCTCCAACCTGTAATGAAATAGAACCAAAAACACATAAGAAAATGAAAAAAAAAAATCATATATGAATATTGATAAAAGTTGAATTGGATAGGTAGGCAGGTACCTCTTCACCCATCAAGAAAACTTTAGAATCAGCAGACATTTCCTCATCAAGTGCAGAATTAAGAGCATCTCTCACTGTCATCTACATAATAAAAATATATATCTAATTTAATTAATTTCAAATTTCAAATTAAGAAAACTGGAATTAAAGTTTGATGAATAAGCAAAAAAAACCTGTTTAGCTGAAGAAGAGAAAAATCTGAATGCGGAGAAGGAAGGGCGAATAGTCTGAAAATGAAAAAAAAATGTTAATTTATGAAATAAAAAAACAAAATTGATGATAATGAGAAAAAAGATAGTGATAGATTGTACCTTGTTTCTTATAACACCGAACATGGTTGATTTTGTAGAAGAAGAACTTGAATAAAGTAAAAGCTAATCAGAAAAATAAGAATGAATGAATTGATGAATGAACGATTGATGGAAGAAGATGAAACCCTAGAAAAATGAAGATCTGGACGAGACAAAGAGTTACCTGAATCCGATTTGAATCGCTACTCACAGATCAACCAAACTATCTTCCTCTGGATTTTGGTCTCTTCTTTTTTATATCAAAAATATATTCTCTGCATATTATTCTCTATATTTATTTTCTAAATGTTTAATATAATATACATATTCTTTCCTTTCAAAAAAAATCCATCTAATTAATCATTTTTAAAATAAACTAAAAAGAATCTTACTAACCGACTAAAAAAAGATTTTATTTGTACTAAAGTCTATTACTATCGTATAGTATTATTTTGTAATTATTTTTATAATAAAATAAAAGTATTAAATTGAGAATTTATAAAATGGTATATGAAGAAGATGAAATATGATTTGTGAATAAGGAAAGGAAGGAACGCCAATGCCACCAACCAGTTACCACTTGGGCCTCCAAACTAGTAGTAGGTAGGGCTGGCAAATAGTCCTACCACCACAATGTTTTTACTATATTATTTTTGTATATTAAAAAATTATTTTATATTTTTATCGTAACATTTTGAATTTTTTTAAAATTGATGTGATTTAACATAAATTTCAATTTAATTATCGAAGTTTTAAAAGTAGGTTGTGTTTTTATTGATAACTTATATTTTATACTGGACTTTTCATTAAAAAAAATATGTTTTATTATCGGTATATTTGAAAAGTTCAATCAAAATTCATATTTTTTTATGTATTTTTATCGAATATTAATTTTGGTTAAACTACACGCATTATTTATCGGTGATTTTAAAAATTTTGGTAAAAATGCATATAAGTTTACCGAATATATCAAATTAATCAATAGAAGAAAATGTTGAGATGGTAACCGAATTTTTGAAAAGTCATGTCGTTTATATTGTCTTTGATTTTTTATAGTGAGGACCGGAGGATGAGACGTCATAGTTGCATCGAGACAGACTGGCATAACTAAAATAGCAGTTGCAGCGACTATAGAGAGAGCTCACGTGTTGGGGTAGATGGCGTTAAGGATTCGTATATTCTGGTGGTAGAGTAATTCTCAATAATTCTCAGTAATTCCCAATAATTCTCAAAGGAATATGATGGTTGATCAAGCACACGCACTCACACTATCCAGCGTATAAGAGGTATAGTTGATGGATGAGACAAAGATTTTGCTAATCAGTCTGCTGTTGCGGTCATTGATGATGTCGAGACATCAGCTCAGGAGGTGTAAGGTCATGATGACAGACATGTGGTGGATGAGACAGAAGTGACTTATCATACTGAGACGGAGGCACAATATAGTGAGATATCGACAACACAACAACAATATGGTCTGCTATTTCCCCTCATCTTCTAAGATCTCCTGATGAGTTGACCTCAGAGGATCTCATTCTACATATGGTGTCATGTAAGGATATGGCATACGACGTAGATCCTCTAGAACTAAATGATTATATTTCTCCGTAAATATCTCATCAACAGCTTTGCAAAGGACAATGGCGTGAGCAACAATGGGGATGGTCTATAAGTATTGATCTTATCGGATCAAAAAAGGATCAGCAGTCTACCATGCGTCATGAGCTCATGTGTTCACTGGTGTTGAAGAGGAGGAGGGGGTGTACCTGCAAGGTTCTCCGATGCTAAAGTGAGTAACGGAGTTAGAGAGAGCAAATACAGAGAAAAGGTGTAGAGAATAGAATACCTGACCCTCTAGTGAAAGAGGGTATTTATAATGTGCCATCAGCGTTGGGTCAACGGTTACTTCGCATTGGGTTGGATCGCAAGGCCTAACACAAGTAACTGTCAGGGCTTACATGGCGTAGGAAAGATCAACATGTGGTATTCTCCCTAGATCAACTTCCCCGTAATCTTCGGAAGGAGGGTGACTTGCTCTCTCGGATGCGGGAAGTTGCTGATGATGTGTCCTCGCGTGGGGGCACGTGGAGTCCGTGAGGGAAACATGTGAGATCTCCTTGCGCTAGGCAGTGGCCTGTCCGACAGTGGAGCGTGTCTGACAGGGGAGGAGGATTAGGCCTAGTTGGGCCTCCCCAATAAGATGTTAGGTTGGGACTGCCCGACCGTGGGGTAGGTACTAGCCTAGTCCAAAACATGTATATCATGCATACAATCGAACTGCCGCAGGACTCGCTCAGGAGGATGGGGGTACCTAAGTCGAGACCCACATACCAATCATCTAAAATACAAGGTTATCACTTCCAAAGGTTGTGCCTCATTATGATCGGCGTACAACATAAAACAAGTATCATCAAACACGATTCGATTAAGAACAACTCAGAACTGATGATTCCCTTTGAACAAGATGATCAAACACGCACGTGGCAAAGCCTCAAAGTAGTATTTTAAGTATGCCTAGACAAAGGGACGTGGAAAATGTTGGTGGATTCATGCTTAAAATTGGACGTGTAAACGAAAACCATGAGATATGACCTCAGTGCACATACTCTATGGTATGCAATATAAGCATCATCACCATTACCATCACCATCACCGTCTATAACTGCAACCAAGTGTTTTACATACATATAGAAATGAAAATCTAGGATGACATCTTCTAGTGTCATTTATCTCTTGTTGGTCTTTTCTTAGGTCAGACTCCAAATAAGTCAACATCATGTCTAATACTTCAGACCTACTAGTTATAAAGTAATTTAATAATTTTCCAGTGATTGAAAGATGTAGGAGGCATGATACATCATCAAGTGTGATGGACATCTCATTGATCAGAAGATGAAAAGACAATTTCTCAACATGTTATATTTCCACAAAAGTAGACAATAAATCATAGTTGATATAACCATATTTAGCCCTGCATAAATTTTGTAGCCCATATAGTTGCAAGACATCCTAAAACCATGGTTCATCAGGTTATGTCATCCTTGCAACCTTCCTACCATGGTTGATACATTATAACTTATCATGGTAGTGTAAAAAATAAATAAATAATTATTGATAGTTCAGATATTATAGCACAAATATTTAAAAGAGGAATTAAAGATTGTGTTACCTATTCCACCAACATGGTATAAATATAGAGGAAGTAATGAAAGGTCTAATGGACCTCCACTAAATCCATCACGCATGACAACATTTGGGTCAACATAGGCTTCTATGTCAGTATGGGACACATGAATTCGAGAAAAGGATGTGGAGACACATGAACCTGAAAAGACGATGTGTCATCATGGAAATAAATTTCTCCAACTACGAGTCTCGATGGTCTAGCTTTTTCCTTGCAATTGAAGGTATGTTGGGTCACTATACCATGTCTCATTCTTTCTTAGTTGTCACCCATTTTTCAAATAATCAAATAAGAAAAATCATGTCTTAACCAAATAAGGTATTACCTAACTGATCCAAAAAACAAGACAATAGGTAAATCAGATCTCAGTGTTTGTTGTTAGCTTATATAAGCTATGTTTAGGGTTGATTTAGGTGAGTGTGTGAGGATTAGAAGTGTGTGTGATTGAGTGGGATATTTGGGTGAATCCATGTGAAATGAGCGAGGAAGGTGTGAAGTTTGTTGTGATCATGGTGAGTTGGCATTTTGTGGAGATTTGTGAGTTTTTCAGCTGAAATTGTGGAGGGAAAGAGGGTGAAAATCGTGTGCATTAGTGAACATCCATGTGCAAAGTTTGTTGTGAAATCATGTATGTATGACACAATGTATAAGGCCATGTAAAAGTTACTGAATGATGTAATAAAATCATGTTAATTTCCTTTTCCAACTCAATTTATTTCTTTTGAAATTAATTTTAAATATGATGATGTTGTTAAGATATAGACATGATCATGAAATTATAAACTTTCATTTGCCTTTATTCGATGATGAAGATGATGCATATTTGGTTTTGTTGGCTTTTAAATGGTGAAGATGACAATGTAGTATTGAATCCACTTTGTTCACGTGTGAAATTCCATTTTGTTTCATGCTTAGAATTTTATTTGACTCATTTAGCTTACTAATTTTTGTTCTTTTATGATGCAAAAAATGAATAATGGTGTAAAAAGATGAATGTAATATTTTGGACTTTTTTCTATTTATTCATAATTTTGATTTTTTTTTATAATTTTAAACGATAAAAAAGGTGTAAAAAAATGCATGACATGAATGGATGGGTTGAAAATAAACAGTTAGGAGACCTTGTCTTCTAATGCACATCCTTTTTTATATTGACTTTTCAAAAGGAACTTTTAATGCAAGAAACCATATTTTTTTGCTAAAATGGCTTTAAAATATAAATTAAATGGCAAATGGATTAATATGAATGAACTAAAAATGAATTAATAAAATTAAGTCAAGTTGGTTTGAAATGATTCAATCGTTGGCATTTGATTGACTTTTGTTAACCTTAATGAATTGTGCCTAAAAAATAAAATGTATGCAATGGTAAATGATGCAAGTGACTTAAGAAAAATGAACTAAATCTTCTTGTTAGTATGTCTACCCTCATTTTGAAATCAAATTGAAATATTATAATTAATCTTTGCAATATCATTTTACAAGAGAAGTAGTAGCAATTAAAACCCTCAAACCCTATGTTTGATGTTGATCCTAACTCGTTCACTTCTCTATATCTTAACAAGATCAAGTCACACAAGATCTCCAATGTGATCCTCTAGTTACCGCTACTCCTTTGATTGAACTTTTCATTCTTCAAAGCTTTCACTCGGTTGAATCCAAATTGAAAAGTATTTCCCCAAGTCTTTCAATTGATCCTTCGGTTACTGCTACTCCTTTGCAAGAACCACCGTTCTTCAAAGCTTTCGCTCGACAGAATCCAAGTTGACAAAAATTATGCACAAACCTCCAAAAATTCTCAACCCAATTTAGATTTCACAAATCCTAAATTGAAAGTTATCACTCTCAATAAAGATCCCTC